CGGACGCCGCGATTCAGAGTTGTTGTGGCGGGAGGATGGGAGTCTGGTGCAGAAGAGTTTCGTTTGGCTTGGGGGGAAAAAAAAAAAAAACTTGTTGAACAGAGCTTGGTTTGCTTAGAGTTCCGTGCAAAATACCTTCCTTGCAGAAAAGCAGAAGGAAGCCAGAGCTTTGGCTGAGCCTCTTCAGGAGCACGCGAGGCCGGGGCTGAGAAGGGAGGCGGTGGCAGAACAGGGAATCGGCCGGGTCGGAAGGCGGTCGGGAGGATGAAAACGTATCTATTGCTGAAACTGTTTACTGCCCTCCTTCTCCATCTGTTCACATGGCTTATCCGGTAGTTAGCCCTAGGCTACATCTTTCGAGTTGGCATAAATTGAGGCCTGCAGTTAGGCCAAGAGCAATATTTGCCCCTTACTCCGCCAGCAGCTGTTTCGGGAGCGCAGCTGTTACCACCTCGAGAGGCCGAATTACCAGCGACGAGCCGTGGCCCTTTCAAGTTGATGGGCCATCCTGGCATGGCAGATAGCTGCCTTTGCCGGACCGGGGCGGAGGAGCTGTGAAGTGTGAGAGTTAATTGTGTTTAAAGCAGGTTCCCTGCCCTGCGCAGGGCAGGGGATCCCGGGCTGTTGTGAAGCAATCACAGCACGGTTTTGGGAAGGTGATGTGTAAATCTCTGAAATGCGGGAGCTATAGATTATAGGTGGAGGGAGGCGATTAGATGTCAGATAACTGGATGGAAACTCGGCCTGTTTCTCTGTGCAGACAAGGAATACTGATGTTAAGAGCTGAGCTACTTGTCTTTGGAAAAAATGAATGAAAATCCCCTAAGTATATGTTAATGTGATTAAATTGTAGGTAACGAGCAAGGAAGGAGGCGACAGGCGGGGGCATCGCAGAGATTAACCTGGAGAAAGCCCCCTCCTTTACTTCCTTAGAGGGTTCATGACCAGAGTGGACAAGGAGGGCTGAATGTTCTTGGCTGTGTAGGCTGAGACTGAAAGTGTTGGAGCTCAGGAAGCTCGTACATCACAAAATATGGTAAGGATATGAGAGCCTAGAGGAGAGAACCAAACAGGGTCACCTGTCTCTGGTATTGTTTTAATGCTTGTCTTGTAGCTCCCCATCTGTCAGGACGCGGCCCGTCGGAGTGCCAAATCCCACTCGAGGCCAGGGCAAAAGTGGAGGCGTGTGGTGTCCATCCCGTGGAGCGGCGCTCCGAGGGGCTCCGTTGTGAGCGCATAAGTTGGCCAAAGAGAAGGAAGATGTGGTGCATCTCCTCACGCCGCGCCTGGGGTACCACTGCCAGCAGCATGCTGATGCGGACACAGCCAGGGAGCTGCGCTTCGTGCGTGCTCCAGTGCGTTTGGGTTTATCGCTTTTCTGTTCTTCCATGAACAAACGGTCACTTGTATTCAGAGCCATAGCAAGTCCCTCTTTCCAGCAAGGTTTAGTTTCACTTTTGGACAGTGTTTTCCTGGTGTGCTGTGCCTGCTGAATTAAGCAGTGCGTGCACTGGCTGGCGTCAGTGCTGAGTGCATGGTTACGGCGCTGTGACCAACTGGGTGTTCCTGACCTTTGTCACTCGCCTGCTGCCGTCGGAGCAAGGATGTCTGTTCCTTCCTGAGCTGGCCTGAGTTGTTCTTGCTGGGGGAATGTCTCCCATCCAAGGGAAAACGTCCGGGTTAGTTAATATGTGGGGTGCATGGAATAATCACATTGCAGGAGGGATGTCTTAGCAGTGCAGGGACGTATGAATTTCCCCTGTGCATCAGAAACTGAAGTTGGCATAAGGGACCTGGGGGGTTCCTGTTGATGTGCACCCAGGGCCAGGCCTCTGTTGGCAAACCCAGTTAATCTGGAGTGCAGACACTCCTTAAAGCGCATCCTTGCTGCTTTCTGAGAGCTTGAGCAGTCTTTTGGTGGACCCCTCTGAACCAAAGTTGAAAGTTGTAAGAGAGGTTGACTCAGTGTTTGAGCTGAGCAATGGGATTCAAGTTGATTTGCTCTCTGTTATTGTGTCAACAAGTCGTTGATGATAAAAGGTCATAAAGCATTGTAATGTCTTGTGTTGATATAAGTTGTCTCTGATCTAATAGACCCTTTAAAGCTAACACAGCCTAATGCACTGTCCATGTGACTGAATTAATTTTATTCTAGGGGCATGAATTTTTCTCACTGTCAGAAAAGGGGGACTGCTTGTAAAAAAGATAGGAGAGTGCAAAAAAAGGTTGTGGAACCAAACTTTAGTTAGGATTTGTTACAATGAGAAGCCATTTTTTTCTCCTTTGAAAGGGAAACTATATCTGTTTTTTTTTGTCTCAAATTCTAAATACATTTTGTCCAGGGTTAATCTAGACTTTATGCCCTTGCAAACATTATTAAAAGTTTAATTTTGACAGGATTTGCAGAAAATGCTAAGACAGCAGTTTCAGAAGCATAAAAATAATTTTGACAATTCTTTTCTGATCCTTTTTAGCTCCTGGGAAGCGGTCTGCTATCATGCCTGGATCCTTGACTAAACATACTTTCAAACTATTATTTAAACATGATTTGCAATTGAATCTCAACATTTTTTTTCTTAACAGATAAAATAAGTTGTGTTCAGATTAATTTTCTGTGATCACTTGCAGTTAAATTGGATCTGCGGATACTGGAACAAATAAAACCTGATCCTAGACTAGTTCTTGGATAGATTTTTTTAATCTCTTCTATCTCTGCTGCTAGACATATTTTGCAACTCCTGTGGCAGTATTCAGGGCTTATGGCAAAGGTTTTACTTATCCTGTATCTAATTTATCAATAGGAATTTTTGCCATTTTTCATTTCTGTTTTAAGGTTTATGAACTAATAAGTGAAATGTGCTTTCTACGCATTTGTGTAGCATAAAAGTAAAAAAACAAACAAACAAAAAAAACCCAAATACTGCCTCTTCTTGCACAAGGGCAGTCATTTATTTTTTCTTTAGCTTTGTATATGTTGTGAACAAGGAAAATATTTTGGCTGCAAATGTTGTTGTACTAGCAACACAGGAATACTTACACAACAACAACTTTGATCAGTTAACTGACGCATTATTGTTTTTAAAACTAAACACTAAGTCAACATTACTTGATTTTTAAGATGAGTGTACGCTTGCAGTTCATGTCCTTCTGGGCAAACATCCTAGTTATTATAGGTCAGCGCCTTACACTGATGTTTGCAAATGATTATACTGCATTCAAAACATTCATGAAAAAGTCATGAAATGACTTTCGGATGAAAGTCTGTCTCTGTACGATAAAACACTCCCCTCCAATTCAGCCTGAAGATCCCACCATTACTTCAGCTGGGGCAGAAGGGCAAAAATCTCTGATTTGGCACATGTTAATCTTTCTGCTTGTGGATAAAAGTCTTGCATGACTGAAGAGAAATTAGATCGTAGAGCTCTGTTTGCTAAAGTGTATGTGGAGGCTTTTGAAATTCTAATGTCTGTTCTTGCTGTGGCTTGTTTGTGGCTTTATCTCCTGCACAGCATTTACAGCTCTATTTTGATTGGGGCTAATCCTTTCATGTGCTCAGTTAAGACAAATAATGCATCATCCCGATTGCTGTAATATTTGAGTGAGTTGTTCTTATAACAATTATGGTCCTTACTCAGTGATGCATTTGTAGCTTCTTCTGATAGAGCAGTAATCCAGTGAAATCTGAATTTGTGTTCTAAATGTGCAATAAATTAACAAACAATAATAGTAACATTGCTGATAATCCTTTTTCATTAAATTACCTTAACTTTTTTAACTTTTTTTTTTTTTAATCAGCCTCAACTGACATGTAGTAGTTGGTCTGCTATTATTTCTTCGTCTTTCGTAGACAATGGCATTGCACCCACGAAGAGTTCGCTTGAAGCCCTGGCTGGTAGCCCAGGTAGATAGCGGTATGTATCCAGGCCTCATCTGGCTGAATCGAGAAGCAAAGCGATTTCAGATCCCCTGGAAGCATGCAACTCGGCACAGTCCTCAGCATGAAGAGGAGAACACTATCTTTAAGGTAAGGGGAGAGAAACATGGTTATACCATGGCCATTAAACAGGGACAAAGGGTTGAATTGTTGTCCTAAAAGCTGGATAGTTGTTTCAGAAACTTCCAGGCACATTGTGTCCTGTTTCCTTTCACCTTGGAAAATCTCGATGCCAAGCTTGGCACAGCATTGAAAAGGTGTTTAGTTCTTTAACTCTTTCAGACCACCAGAGCCCTGACTTGATGTCCGATTACATGGGTTGTGGCAGATGAAATCACTGCTATTTACTTCATCTAGTGGGCCTAGGATGCGGTAGCTGGCTTGTTTGTAGGGTTAAACCATTAAATACCATTACCTAAATCTTAACTAGGGAAATAAAAATATGACTTTACCACAAATTTCTAATCTCTGCCATTACTATCCTTAATATTTGTCTCCCCAGGGATTCATTATAGCTTTTGTATTCTTTCAAGGAACTTTTCACCTCCTGCCTTGACTATCAATCCAAGATCCTTTCTAATTTTAGGGAGGGAGGGCCAGGTGGGATCTCTGTGGCTGCTCTTCCCCTTCACTTTATTTGAGTCCATTTCTACACAAAGTATGGCTCACTGTCCAAAATGACTGTTGGTATCCAACCTGAGGCTCCTAGAAAAGTCCAATGCATAATCCAGTGTAAATTACACTTTCTTAACTTGCATAAAGATTCATGCTCAAAATTGCTAATGGTTCTTGGAAATTAGGATACACCTTTTTTTCCTGGTTCAAATGGGAAAGGATATTGTAGAGGGAATTTTCATTGTTGTTATCAGAAGGGCTGCAGATGAGACTTCCAGAAGAGAAGAATTTTACAGTGCATTTGTTTAGAAGTGTGATTTCTGATAAAAGCTCGCATATTGAGAGAGCTGGACTAAGCACGGTGTACTTTGTCCCCAGGCATGGGCTGTGGAAACAGGAAAGTACCAGGAGGGAGTCGATGAGCCAGACCCTGCAAAGTGGAAAGCTCAGCTCCGATGTGCTCTTAACAAAAGTCGGGAGTTCAATTTGATGTACGATGGCACCAAGGAGGTGCCCATGAATCCTGTTAAAATTTATGAAGTTTGCGATATCCCCCAGTCCCAGGGATCAATCATTAATCCAGGTGAGGGCCTTGCTGACACAGTACTGGTTACTGAGCAGGCATCTGTCCAATGCCATGTACCTTTCCTGCCAAGGAATTAACTCTTAAGCTGCCTTCGTGTGCAGCGGAAAAGGGATGCTGTATGTAAATTCAGTTGTAATTAAGCTAAGAAGACTTTGAACCACGGCATAACTGTACTAACATTAAAGATTGCCTGCTATCTGCTAAATAATCAGCACTGCTGATAATAGACATTTGGATCCTTAGCTCTCTGAAGTCCTGCATTAAAAAAAAAAAAGGTAGTATGTTGTACAGATTACATTTTCCCCTTTTTTACTTAAATTTATACAAATCAATATCTGATATTGTGCAAAGTCAACAAGAAAATGACAGTATTTTTTCAAGAAATGCATTGCAGTGTTTCACACAGAGCGACTACCCCTAATGTGTGCTTGTTTGTAGGTTCCACCGGCTCAGCTCCGTGGGATGAAAAAGATAATGATCTTGATGATGAAGAGGAGGAAGAGTTGAATCAATCTCAGCATGTCCCTATTCAAGAGACCTTTCCATTTCTTAATATCAATGGTTGGTAGCATGTAGCATAGGCTGTAATGTGTTAGTGAATTATTTCCTTGTAAATTGGTGCATCCTTGAAGTCAAATCTTGTTTTATCAAAGCATTGATTCTTTTGTGTAGATTCTCCGATGGCTCCAGCCAGTGCAGAAAACTGTAGCCCTGAAGCTGTGTGGCCAAAGAATGAACCTCTAGATATGGAAATGCCCCCAACTGCCCTGCAGCATGACTTCTTCAGCAGCCCTGAGCTCTGGATTAGCTCTCTTCCAAGTGTGTATATGGGTGTAGTGCCTCATTGTGCTTTTAAAACAATTGGTTTTTAACCTTGCTTTTCCTTTGGTTGGTTGCTTGTTAGCATGCAGAACTTTATATAGCTAAAATATCTTTTTGGACTCTAGCTTACATTGCATGATGTAAGGAAGAATCACACTGACAGGGAAAATCACACTGACAATTCCTCTCTCAGTGACAGACCTAGAAATCAAGTTTGAATATCGAGGGAAGGAGACCGGTCCCACAACGACTGTGAGCAATCCGCAGGGGTGTCGACTCTTCTACGGAGAGCTGGGTCCAATGCCAGATCAGGAAGAGCTGTTTGGGCCTATTAGTTTGGAGCAAGTAAAGTTTCCAGGAACAGAGCAAATCACCAACGAAAGGCAAAAGATCTTCACAAGTCGGCTACTAGATGTTATGGACAGGGGACTGATCCTGGAGGTCAGTGGCCATGCCATCTATGCTGTCCGACTCTGCCAGTGCAAGGTGTACTGGTCTGGTCCCTGTGCGCCTTCCTCCACTACACCAAATTTGATTGAGAGGCAAAAGAAAGTCAAACTCTTCTGTCTGGAAACATTCCTAAGTGGTAGGTATCTTTTGCTTCTGGAAAACACCTTTGGATACTGGTCTTAGCTCTCGGTAGCACATTAAACTGGGTGATCTGCACTGGGGATCAGTCTTGATGCAGTAATTGGTTTGCATGCACATGGAGTGTGGTTCAGTGGCCGCTGTGCGCCCTGACTGCACTGGACTGTAGAGCAGGTGCACGTCAGAGGAAAGTGAATTTACGCTCATTTAACACACTGAAATGTTGGTGGGTCTTGTTGTTAAAGAAAGCTCTTTCTGGATTAGGAAATAAGCTGTAATTACTTTTATGTGTAAGAGGTGGCTCTGGAGAAGGATTGTGTGATCCTATCTGACCTGGGACAAGTGTAACAAGGTGGCATGCAGTTAAGTGTTCCTAAAGCACGGACAGACAACTGTGCAGCGTTCTACTTTTCTTCTTAGAGCTGATTGCCCATCAGAAGGGACAAGTTGAGAAACAGCCACCTTATGAAATCTACTTCTGTTTTGGGGAAGAATGGCCTGATGGAAAACCTAGAGAGAGAAAGCTGATTGTGGTTCAGGTATGAGCAAGGGCTCTGAAAGCAGATGTGCCAGCTTTGCTGGGCCCCGTGGACTGATACCCCTACGTATCAAATAGAGAACTGTTTTCCTCTGTCTTGATTAATTATATGGAGAAGCCCAAATAGGAATCTGGGGGGGTTTTGTCAGAAGTGCAAATGATACGTATTCCTTGTATGCTGAATAGCTGTGGTCTGTGAACTGCAGTTCTGGTTACTGTGGAAACCATTCTGCAGGTAGATTTGACCACTGCACTGATTTTGACCACTCTTGGTGCTTTTCAGTTTATTTTTTGTTTTTTCTTTGCAAATTAATAGGTACGTATTATGTAACAGGCTAAAATAACTGCCTTAATTCTTTAAACAGGTCATTCCTGTTGTGGCTCGGATGATCTATGAAATGTTTTCCGGCGACTTCACACGTTCCTTCGACAGCGGCAGCGTGCGACTCCAGATCTCTACGCCGGATATCAAGGACAACATCGTCGCCCACCTGAAGCAGCTGTACCGCCTCCCGCAGAGCCACCAGGAGGGTTGGCCCATGCAGGGCCCTGCGCTGCACACCGCCCCGCCGCTCCCGGCACAGTGACGGCTGCTGCCTCAGCTCCGCTCTGCCCTCCGGTTCCTTGTACATATAGGAAGATATTTCTTAAATGGTGCCTTGCCTGAACCTGAATTAAATCTGTAAATCTGGCTGTCTGATTATTAAATTTTCAACAGTCAGTGGTACTTTTCTGTTTAGACACTTCCCCCCCCAAAAAAAAAAGTTTTAAAGGAATGCCTTTAGGTAGTTCAGGTTTTAACTGTTTGCTTAAGCAACCATTATGTATAAATCAGTTTTTAAACGCTAAAAGTTGTGTAATCCAGTACTGACATGTATATAAATGTGGTTGATAGAGGGAGGAAAAAAACAATCTGTACTCTATTAAAACTGCCTTAAAAAAACTTGTTCCCCCCTCCCCCCCC